AAGTTCAAAGAAGTGTGGTTTTTTTTTAATTTTTTCATCATATTTGATAATTTTTTTATAGCAAATTATCTGATATGATGAAATAATGGTATCTTTAGAAAGACCATTTAATGTTGTGAAAAACGGTATATAATATGTGTGGATACAGTAAATGAGTAAGAGGAAAATTACAGCTAAACACAAACACCGCAGAAATGTAAAAACAGCCCTGGTCCCAAACGGTAAGAAAATTTTAAAGTGGTCTGGTCACTAAGGGGTTAAGGTTGAAGATGCATGGCAGTTTATTTAATTCTGTACTAGCCAATTCAGAGATTAGTTGGAGGAGTTTGCTTTTTACAGTTGTGTTTAAAAATAACCAGAAGCACCACAGCTGAAAGTGAAGCACTTTATTAGAGATTAAAGAAACATACATTTTTCATTTTATTTAGTCATGATCCATCATATTCTACAGTTTTCTTAGAATTTTAGATGTGTATTTCATATTCTCTGAATATCAACTTTGTCTTTTTATATAGGATTACATATAGGATATAATATATCAGGCAAACACATTATAATTGAAACATACAAATATGTTTTAAAAGATACAAATAAATTATTTAGATACAAAGTAAAAGACCAGGGGAAGTTTAGTTTTCTATGTAATATACAGTTGCAAGAAAAAGTATGTGAACCCTTTGGAATGATATGGATTTCTGCACAAATTGGTCATAAAATGTGATCTGATCATCATCTAAGTCACAACAACAGACAATCACAGTCTGCTTAAACTAATAACACACAAAGAATGAAATGTTGCCATGTTTTTATTGAACACACCATGTAAACATTCACAGTGCAGGTGAAAAAAGTATGTGAACCCTTGGATTTAATAACTGGTTGAACCTCCTTTGGCAGCAATAACTTCAACCAAACTTTTCCTGTAGTTGCAGATCAGACGTGCACAACGGTCAGGAGTAATTCTTGACCATTCCTCTTTACAGAACTGTTTCAGTTCAGCAATATTCTTGGGATGTCTGGTGTGAATCGCTTTCTTGAGGTCATGCCACAGCATCTCAATCGGGTTGAGGTCAGGACTCTGACAGGGCCACTTCAGAAGGTGTATTTTCTTCTGTTTAAGCCATTCTGTTGTTGATTTACTTCTATGCTTTGGGTCATTGTCCTGTTGCTATACCCATCTTCTCTTGAGCTTCAGCTGGTAGACAGATGGCCTTAAGTTCTCCTGCAAAATGTCTTGATAAACTTGGGAATTCATTTTTCCTTCAATGATAGCAATCCATCCAAGCCCTGACGTAGCAAAGCAGCCCCAAACCATGATGCCCTCACCACCATACTTCACAGTTGGGATGAGGTTTTGATGTTGGTGTGCTGTGTCTTTTTTTTCGCCACACATAGTGTTGTGTGTTTCTTCCAAACAACTCAACTTTGGTTTCATCTGTCCACAGATATTTTGCCAGTACTAATGTAGAACATCCAGGTACTCTTGTGCAAACTGTAAACGTGCAGCAATGTTTTGTTTGGAAAGCATTGGCTTCCTCTGTGGTATCCTCCCATGAAATCCATTCTTGTTTAGTGTTTTACATATTGTAGATTCGCTAACAGTGATGTTAGCATTTGCCAGTGACTTTTGTAAGTCTTTAGCTGACACTCTAGGATTCTTCTTCACCTCATTGAGCAGTCTGCGCTGTGCTCTTGCAGTCATCTTTACAGGACGGCCACTCCTAGGGAGAGTAGCAGCAGTGCAGATCTTTCTCCATTTATAGACAATTTGTCTTACCATGGACTGATGAACAGCAAGGCTTTTGGAGATACTTTTATAACCCTTTCCAGCTTTATGCAAGTCAACAATTCTTAATCGTAGGTCTTCTGAGAGCTCTTTTGTGCAAGGCATCATTCACATCAGGCAAAACGTCTTGTGAAAAGAAAACCCAGAACTGGTGTGTGTTTTTATAGGGCAGGGCAGCTGTAACCAACACCTCCAATCTCATCTCATTGATTAGACTCCAGTTGGCTGACATCTCACTCCAATTAGCTCTTGGAGATGTCATTAGTCTAGGGGTTCACATACTTTTTCCACCTGCACCGTGAATGTTTACATGGTGTGTTCAATAAAAACATGGCAACATTTCATTCTTTGTGTGTTATTATTTTAAGCAGACTGTGATTGTCTATTGTTGTGACTTAGATGATGATCAGATCACATTTGATGACCAATTTGTGCAGAAATCCATATCATTCCAAAGGTTCACATACTTTTTCTTGCAACTGTATGTATCTGGAGCCTTGTGGGCAGTTAACTCCACTGAAAAAGTACTGTGTAATAAGAGTAGATGATAAATATAAACTTAAAAAGTACAGAACAAGAAACTGATGATATATAGGATGTTATACATGATACAATATTACAGAAATATATATATATATATCATGTATACAATATTACAGATATATATATATATATATATTTATATATATACACACAATATGATTGGAGTTTTGCACTCTAGCTCTCCTCCAGATCTTGGCCCGGTGCTCAGTTGCACACAAATACAGCCTCCAAAAAGAAAGCCAGCACTCAAGGACTTCAACATGAAAAAATAGGCATTTAATCCAAATGGTCAATGTTTCAGTTCACAACTGTGAACTTTCCTCAGGACACAAATTGCATATCATATAACATTGATATGAACATAATGTTATATGATATGCAATTTGTGTCTTGAGAAAAGTCTATTGTGACTGAAACGTCAACATTTTTGTATTCTGCACAATAAAGCAGTATTTATTTTGATATAAAACGAAGACTCCAGAGTGCTCTCTACTTGGATGCTATATATTGGTCAGAGATTACTTGCACCGGAGCATGGAAAAGACCGGGAACATTGAGTGCTGGGACCTGGGAAAATAAATATATATATATATATATACACACACACAAGCAATGCTGCACTCACTGTGTCTTCCAATGACTGCCTGGTGCTAGTCGGCTAAATATAGAAAGATAAAGTAGATAGCACTCCACTGTCTTTTTCATCAATAAAAAATAACTTTTATTGCTCCAAGTTAAAAATCAACGTTTCAGTCTGCAAATTCAGTCCTTCATCGGGTTTGAATTTGCAGACTGAAATGTTGATTTTTAACTTGGAGCAATAAAAGTTATTTTTTATTGATGAAAAAGACTGTGGAGTGCTATCTACTTTATCCTTCTATCTATCTATCTATCTATATATATATAATTGGAACAAACAATGAGGATATGTTTTGCTGTAATGTTATGAGAGGGTAAACTACACGCTATAGTTTTCTATGCAGAATATGTACCTACAGCCCCATGGGCAGCCGACTCCATTAAAATAATATATCCACTAGTGGATGTATTATTTTCAGCTTATTTGTTATGTGTTTCATGTGTCTACACAGTAGAAAAGTCACAAAAAACTCCCCAAAATTACCTACTACCTTCAGAAAAATTAGATTTAAGCAACAAAGGTTTATATAAATGTATCTGTTTTACCTCACATTCTATAAAGACACATACAAATCATACACATTTGAAAAGAATAATAATAAACACAGGTAAATTGTGTAGAAGGTCAAATATCCATGGATCAATTTGAAAATGAGATTAAGATTATAAAGCGGCAATATGCCAATAACTGGAGAACAATGCTCAGGTTATTTACTGAAGTGAGAATTGACAGAATTTCAAAGTGAATTTAAAATTTAAGGTAAAAATAGCTATTATTTCAGACTCTTTATTAAGGATATACATATGTTAAATTGTTGGGTTGATTTGTGGTTCAGTAAAACGGCAGAGCAAGAGCATGTCGTCCATTTTCTTATCAAGTTTATTATTTTCTTTTATGAGAGTCAGAGAGCTTGAGATGCAAAAAATGGATGTTGTAATAGCTCCAAAGTGATGCAAATGAAAATTTTCTACCACTATAAGAAACCATTATAGTGGCAGTGAAATAAACAACATTATGAACAAGGAGGGAGGTCACAAATTTGGCTCCTCGGAGGTGAGGTCCTAGATTGGGTCTAAGACCTTCATCTTTTCCTTTTATGTTCTTCATGTGTCTAAAGAGAGATGCAATGATTATCGAAGCTGAACTACAAAATAGTAAAAAGGCAACAGTACAATATGCGTTAGTAATTTCACGAAATGTATTTACTATCTCCAAAGGAACATCATTTGATACGAAATCAGTGTTGTTTGATAGTGAAGTTTCTGTTTCTTCCCATGCAAAAGGAAGAGAAATAAATAAAGCTGCAAGTACTGTTTGAAAAAAAATTATCCGGTGAATCTTGCAGAAGTTATTTTGGAAATATATATAGATATAATTATTGATGTTAACAATTTTCAGACAGAAGTGTACACTGAGCCAGGTATAGAACCAATAGTGCAGTATATTATAATCCAAGTTTGGAAAAAAGATAAATAGAGAATGTGGTACTCACATTTGCTAGAGCGAAAACTTGCTCTAGTGTATTAGGCTTACAGTGGTATGATCCCCACAATTTGTCTTACCGTGGACTGATGAACAGCAAAGCTTTTGGAGATACTTTTATAACCCTTTCCAGCTTTATGCAAGTCAACAATTCTTAATCGTAGGTCTTCTGAGAGCTCTTTTGTGCGAGGCATCATTCACAGCAGGCAATGTTTCTTGTGAAAAGCAAACCCAGAACTGGTGTGTGTTTTTTATAGGGCAGGGCAGCTGTAACCAACACCTCCAATCTCATCTCATTGATTGGACTCCAGTTGGCTGACATCTCACTCCAATTAGCTCTTGGAGATGTCATTAGTCTATGGGGTTCATATACTTCTTCCACCTGCACTGTGAATGTTTACATGGTGTGTTCAATAAAAACATGGCAACATTTCATTATTTGTGTGTTATTATTTTAAGCAGACTGTGATTGTCTATTGTTGTCAGATCACATTTTGTGACCAATTTGTGCAGAAATCCAATGGTCAACGTTTCAGTTCACAACTGCGAACTTTCCTCAGGACACAAATTGCATATCATATAACATTCATATGAACCTAATGTTATATGATATGCAATTTGTGTCCTGAGGAAAGTTCACAGTTGTGAACTGAAACGTTGACCATTTGGATTAAATGCCTATTTTTTCATGTTGAAGTCCTTGAGTGCTGGCTTTCTTTTTGGAGACTATATATATATATGTATAAAAAAATAAAAGCAATGCTGCACTCACTGTGTCTTCCAATGACTGCCTGGTGCTAGTCGGCTAAATATAGAAGGATAAAGTAGATAGCACTCCACAGTCTTTTTCATCAATAAAAAATAACTTTTATTGCTCCAAGTTAAAAATCAGCATTTCAGTCTCCAAATTCAGTCCTTCATCAGGTCTGAATTTGCAAACTGAAATGTTGATTTTTAACTTGGAGCAATAAAAGTTATTTTTTATTGATGAAAAAGACGGTGGAGTGCCATCTACTTTATCCTTCTATCTATCTATCTATATATATATATATATATATAATTGGAACAAACAATGAGGATATGTTTTGCTGTAATGTTATGAGAGGGTAAACTACACGCTATAGTTTTCTATGCAGAATATGTACCTACAGCCCCATGGGCAGCCGACTCCATTAAAATAATATATCCACTAGAGGGATGTATTATTTTCAGTTTATTTGTTATGTGTTTCATGTGTCTACACAGTAGAAAAGTCACAAAAAACTCCCCAAAATTACCTACTACCTTCAGAAAAATTAGATTTAAGCAACAAAGGTTTATATAAATGTATCTGTTTTACCTCACATTCTATAAAGACACATACAAATCATACACATGTGAAAAGAATAATAATAAACACAGGTAAATTGTGTAGAAGGTCAAATATCCATGGATCAATTTGAAAATGAGATTAAGATTATAAAGCGGCAATATGCCAATAACTGGAGAACAATGCCCAGGTTATTTACTGAAGTGAGAATTGACAGAATTTCAAAGTGAATTTAAAATTTAAGGTAAAAATAGGTATTATTTCAGACTCTTTATTAAGGATATACATATGTTAAATTGTTGGGTTGATTTGTGGTTGAGTAAAACGGCAGAGCAAGAGAATGTCGTCCATTTTCTTATCAAGTTTATTATTTCCTTTTATGAGAGTCAGAGAGCTTGAGATGCAAAAAATGGATGTTGTAATAGCTCCAAAGTGATGCAACTGAAATTTTTTACCACTATAAGAAACCATTATAGTGGCAGTGAAATAAACAACATTATGAACAAGGAGGGAGGTCACAAATTTGGCTCCTCGGAGGTGAGGTCCTAGATTGGGTCTAAGACCTTCATCTTTTCCTTTTATGTTCTTCATGTGTCTAAAGAGAGATGCAATGATTATCGAAGCTGAACTACAAAATAGTAAAAAGGCAACAGTACAATATGCGGTAGTAATTTCACGAAATGTATTTACTATCTCCAAAGGAACATCATTTGATACGAAATCAGTGTTGTTTGATAGTGAAGTTTCTGTTTCTTCCCATGCAAAAGGAAGAGAAATAAATAAAGCTGCAAGTACTGTTTGAAAAAAAATTATCCGGTGAATCTTGCAGAAGTTATTTTGGAAATATATATAGATATAATTATTGATGTTAACAATTTTCAGACAGAAGTGTACACTGAGCCAGGTATAGAACCAAATAGTGCAGGATACTGAAGCCACATACAAAACTGAGCTAATTACTGTAATACCATTAGAAACATGTGTGTCTAGATCTAGAGTAGCAGAATTAAACATGATGTGAAATATTACACTTGAAAGGGTGGATATGCTGATACCAAATATAAGCTGGTCAGTTAAATTAAGTTTTTTATTTTTTATCCATTCCAAGAGGTTCACAATAAGAATGAACATAATCCATGGAGCTGAAGTTACAAACAAAACTAGTTCAAGGTGTAGCAATATGATATCTGTGATTTGGAGCATCTTCCTATATTCAGATTTTTTTGGTAACTTATAAATGAATAAATGCTTCCTACGATCTGCCACCAATTAAATCCAGATTAAGTATGTTTTCTTCCAGCACTCTCAAATACAGTAATGTGAGTTTTCCCCCAATATGCAAAAACACAATATAATTTTTTGGCTGCAATTTGATTTGATTTGGGTACCATGCAAATTGTATATCTCTACAGTAAGATATATGGGTGCAATCTGATGTTTTGCAAATATGTTGTTTATTTAGTATACAAATAAGATGAAATGGACAAAATAAGTGATACATACACTTTATTCTGCTTTAAAAGGACCCTTTAAGCACCAAAACAACTTTAAAAACTGCCAAGAATAGAGTGTTTTGCCATTTTCATTTCCCAGTAATAGCTTGTTTCCAAAAGACATATTTTCATTTAAATCATGGGTTACGCTCTTTAAACATATAAAGTTTGACTTTTATTTTTTTTTAAATTTGAAAGTTTTATTAAGTTCCAAAATAACGCTGGTACACAGAAATTAAGAGGGGGAAGTGGGAGTGTAGCGAACCAAGGATATCCTGACCGGTTACCTCCGCTAATATCTTCCTTCAGCCACTCAGGAACCACTTTAGAATATACAGACCCATTTCCCCCCAGTAACTGGACGATACACAGCTCTGGGAGTACAACACTGACTGGACTCTGTTTATTTTGTCACACATGGTTTTATATGCACAGACCCCTACATGGGGTCTCCAACACAAAACAACAGGGTTTAAATCCCAAGAAGCTGATGGGGGATGGAAGAGGGACAAAGAAGCCAGTTCAAACTGGGTTAACAGTGTCCCTGTGGCAACGCCCTGCTGTTGCAGGAAAAGGAAGGGGGAGTGGGAGAGGCACAGATAAGCTATACATTTCACTCAACTATACTTTACAGAGAAGTGCCTTCTCACCCACCCCCCTTTGTTGACCCACAGCTGCACATACAGGCACATGTAAAACAGTCTCAAAAATGGCCCATTGACAGTAGGCACATTGGTATATGGCATTGAGTGATGGCGTTCCATCACAGGGAGTAAATAGCATATTCAAATAGATCTCATAACATCTCTTGACAAAAGGATCCACACAATCAATTGGTGGCAATCGATCAGAGTAGTCTAAGATAGGCACTAATGTTGCCTATGTTCAAATGTAATCACTAGGACGACTCTGGATTGGGCATGGTGGTTGCATCACCTATAATATGTACTTCAGTTAGGAAATAGGTAGTGATCAGGGGAGTTCTCCTTAAGGGTAGCGTAAATCAGCAATCATGTAAAACTGGATGTGCCTTTTCCAAAGCGTACATCAAAAATAATGAGATATTGATTGTGTCAATGGCTCAGGGTAGGTTGTGTAATTGATACAAGTTAGGGAAACCATTAGCTGAATAAGCCTAGGGTTCCTAAATAAAGGGATACTATAACAGTACTTTTGTGGCTGCAAATGAAGCTTCACTATTGCTAGACTAAAATGTATCTACAACAGAATTTAAAAATAAACATATTTTTATATGGGCTCGATCACCATGTGTCCCCCTTCAAGTCTCTGAGATAATTTTCAAAGGGAGTAAATAGAGATGTAATGTGTCTCTTATAAGAGCTGTGTTTATACATTTCTATAAGTAAGCTGTAAGTGCAATATGTTGGATCAGTTTAATTTCGTGTCTTGATAGTTCCTTGAAAAGGTATAGAAGGAGGTAAGTTTGGGGTGAAAATGATAAAGAATAACTCAGTTTATCTGAGAGATATTGCTGAATGGTAAACCAGAAGGCATGTAGGTTTATGCAATGTCACCACACATGAAGAGTGAAACCGTATGCTGAGCGACAATGCCAGCAGGTGGACAAGGTGGAGGGAACATCAGATGTAATTTACTCGGTGCCACATACCAACGATACAGTGTTTTATAATGTTTCACAAGTGTGGTTGTTAGGGGAAATTTAAAATAAGTTCTGATTGTTTTTGGCACATAGAGTTCAAATCAGAATTCCATTGTTTCGCCGGTTTGAGTCTGAGAAGGGGGTGTGGTCTGATATAAATTTATAACACATGGAGATCGGTTTACATGAAGGAGGTAAGGTTTTATTAATGCAAACTTATTCCCAAATAGCTATTGTAGCTGTTGGATAGTATGAGTTGTGTCCAATTTACAGTGATGCCTAATAAACCATTATCCAACCAGGGTTTAGCATTTAAGGTGGGGATACAATATGTCATTGCCAGTAATAGAGTAGCTAAAGATAATGAAGTAGTACTACTCAATTTAGTTCTGCACCTGTCCCAGATATGGACTAGTAATGCAACCAAAGGCAGAGGAGATAAACGGGCGGAATTGTATTGGTATCCATAGAATATTGTGAAGCTCATGGGGTTCAAGGAGAGTTTTCTAGGTGGATCCATTGGGGAGGGGAAGAGTCAAGTATATGTGGATGGGCTGTAGCTAATATTGTGGCATGATAGTAGGATTGGATGTATGGAAAGGCGAGCCGTCCAGCTGTCCTAGGAGCTTGTAGGAGTTTTTTTTGCCACTCTAGGCCTCCTCCTTACCCAAACAAATGTATTTAATTCTGTATGGACTGATTTAAAGTAAGAGAGTGAGAGTGTAATGGCAGTGGCGTAGCATGGGTTGTCAGCACCCGAGGCAAGGCAAGTAATTTGCGCCCTCTAACCCGTGGATTTTAGCACTCGAGTCTCTTCCACTAGATTAGTTAAAGAAACCCTTACCCCCCAAGCACATGTATTGTTTGTTATGAAAATACTTATGTAATTAAAGTAAAATGCATCTAAATACAAGTTTATTGGCACCAGGGCCGGTGCAAAGATTCTTGCTGCCCTAGGCAAGAATACATTTTGACGCCCCCTTATGAATGCAACTACATTTCCTCAGAAGTTTATTCACGAAACTCTGAATTACACTAAAGAAACATTTAGGGAAAGAGGCGCACTTAGTAGATATTAAAGGGAAACTATAGTGCCAGGAAAACAAACTTGTTATCCTGGCACTATAGCTTCCCCCTCCGTCAAGCGCATCCCCCCTCGTGGTGCAGCAGGGGTTAAAACACCTTCTGTCACTTACCTGGGTCCAGCACCAATGTCTTTTG